TTCCGGTTGGCGGCGGGCGGGCGCGCGATGCGGGCGGTTTTTTGCGGCGTTTGCGGTGTTGTTTGCGGTTGGAGGCGGTCGTTTTATTTTTGCGGCGTTTGCGGTTGGCGGCGGGCGGGCGTGTTTTTTTTTTAATAATTCAATGTCCAAACCTTTGGATTCGTAGTGCTCCTCGAAAAGCCATCCCTACCTCCTATACAATTAAGAGAAGTAACTACCAAACACAACCCTACTTATATAAACATAAAAGTTTTGACAACCAAACTAATGGCCCCATCAGCGATATCTATCCAAACGTACAGTTATCGCGTAAACCTGTATTCTAGTCTTACTTAATAAATTATAAGTTGTCATCATCGCTGTGTCATGCCTTATGTGTCTTAAAGCGCCGGAACGGCGCCGCGTATCGACATGAAATTTAGTGACCACAAACTTTGGGTGGGGCGGACCATCGTATCAAAAGATGGGCGCAATCGGACCACGGGTGCGGCGTCAGCGCGTGCATCTCTGCCCCAGGCTGGCCGAGGCCGGCGCCGAGCAGAGAGCACGCGCTTTAGGCTCAGTTGTTCGCTTAAAAAAAACTGAGTGAAAAGTATCCGAGCCGGGAGGTCGTTGACCTTTGACAACCAAGGCCGACACAAGGCACCGCTCGCCAAGAGGATTCACAATTAACCCGGCAGGCGGTGGGCCTAGCAGCCACCTTCCGCGCGGTGGGGGGGGGGGGGGGGGGCACTTTTTTGCCCCCCCCCCCCGTATCTCCGAAACTACTGGACGGATCCGGAAAATTCAAACGGCGTTCGATAGCCCTGTCAAATTTGTCGAGGGAAACCAAATTTCATTGACCTCGGGGTAACCGATGACGTCACAGGTCAGGTCAAAGATAAAATGTTTCACCGTTCACGGGGCTTCTAGGGAAAGCGCTATAACACCGAGTAAAACGCATTTTGTCGACAATCAGCGATAAGGCGCCAGTTGTCTAGTACATATGTTGCTATTAGAGGTCACTGGTCATACCAGGTCAGGTCACAGGTCAGGTCACCAAAGGTCACCAAGGGTCACCACATGAGCCCAACTTTACTAAGGTTATGCGATGCATGTTTTATGGCCAGTTTTTCATTTCCAACTCAATGGTGTTGGTTATAAGACCATCAGGTACGGTTTAGGTCACTTTCTGGTGGAGGTCAGGTCAAGGTCAGGTCAAAAAAGGTCAAATTTCAAAGTTAATATTTTTGCATAAAATGGGTATCGATTCGATGCAGCTCGTCACGGGGAGTCTAATGGTGGTCTTTGTTTTGCGCTACGAGGTCTAGAATTGCTAAAAATTGAGTTTAAAAATTTGACGTCATCAATTTTGAACAGTTTTTTCGCTATAACTTGGCCAAAAAAAGAGGTATCGATCTCAAATTTGGTATGTAGAGAGAAGGCGGTAGGGGCTATCACATATATTCCGTTTTTTTTCGAAATTCAAAAAACTTTTTGGATTTTTTGGCTATTATATTCAAAAAATCTATTTTTTTATTTTTGGGGGTCAAAATCCAAAAAATTCGAAAAACCGAGATAGCAGTTTTGTAGCCCTGTCAATTCCACACCTTTTATGTCTAAAACATTTTTCTGTATCTCTAAAGCTGTAGGCCTGACAGCTCTTCCCGCGAAACCTTTTTTTGGGTCGAAAATGGCAAAAATGACGTCACTCTGACGTCATTAGCGGCCAACCTATCGTAGCCTTTGCAAAAATTTTTGGTCACCATGTGCGCTAGCTGCTCCCGGGAGGGTACTGAAAGTTTGGTGACGATCGGCGCAGCGGTTCTCGAGATATATCGAAAAAACTAAAGGGGGGGCAAAAAATTGCCCCCCCCCCACCGCCTGGAAGGTTAATTTGTTTTTGCAATATCTCAGCCGTTTCTGGGCCGATTTAGCTGAAACTTGGACTGTCGGTGGTAGTATAGTGTAGGGTAGGGTAGGGACTAGGGGTAGGGTTGGGTAGGGTAGGGGTAGGGTAGGGGTAGTGTAGGGTAGGGTAGGGTAGTGTAAGGGTAGGGTAGGGGTAGGGTAGGGTAGGGTAGGGTAGGGTAGGTTAGGGTAGTGTAGGGGTAGGGTAGGGTAAGGGTAGGGTAGGGTAGGGTAGTGTATGTAAGGGTAGGGTAGGGTAGGGAAGGATATGGTAGGTAGGGTAGGGTAGGGTAGGGACTAGGGGTAGGGTTGGTAGGGTAGGGTAGGGGTAGGGTGGGGTAGGGTAGGGTAGGGGTAGGGTAGGGTAGGGGTAGGGTAGGGTAGGGGTAGGGTAGGGTAGGGTAGGGTAGGTTAGTGTAGGGTAGGGGTAGGTTAGGGTAGTGTAAGGGTAAGGTAGGGTAGGGTTGAATTGAGTAATATCCTAACTTACAAAGGGCTCGAACAACTCGCATGCATCACCATCATGCTTTACAGTTCAATTAAAAGCAGTTACCCAGTTCTACACAAATAATACCAACAAAAATGCAAGTTTCTACACCCAAACTAATGCATCCGTTAATCATACATATCAAAACATACAGTTATCGCGTAAACCTGTATTCTAGTTGTGTATGAATCTCAACATCCAAGCAACAATCCGTCGGTACCGTGTCCAAGATGAGAATCTCTCTGGCGAAGGGAGCACTGACAGGCCGCCGGTGGTATCTCGCTGTGTGAGGAAGGTCGCCCTGACCTCTGGGTCATCTCTATCTTCTTGTTGTGTGATTGAGTTCGGAGGCCAGCCAGCTTCTTGCTGCTTCAGAAATTCTGGGCCGCTGAGCCAGTCCGTCCTTTTCAACAGATTTGCAGCTGAGGTTCCGCGAGAGCCAAGATCGGCGGGATTCAGTCCGCTCGGTACGTATCGCCACTGTTCAGGTGATGAAGAGCATCTGATCTCAGCAATTCGATTCGCTACAAATGTGTGAAATCTTTTCTCATCGTTTCGAATGTAGTGCAAAATGACTTTGCTATTGCTCCAGAATGTGGTCTTCACGGAATTCAAGCAGTTTAGTTCTTTCTTGATCGTGCTCACTAGACGAATTGCCAGTACTGCCGCCTGCAGTTCAAGTCGAACTACAGTGAGTTGTCGCAGTGGCGCGACTTTAGACCTTGCCATCAAGAAGTTACACTCGCCGGTGCCGTTCTCCTGGGCCAGGCGTAGATACACCACCGCCGCAAACGCCGTTTCCGATGCATCGCAGAATACGTGTAGCTCATGGAATTCGTCTGCGACTGTGCCGAGCTTGATGTTTCGGGGTATCTGCAAACTTGGTATGATCATCAAACCGCTCAGCCATTCACGCCATTCACCCTTTTCTCCCTGGAGGAGCGGATCATCCCATGCGCACTTCCGTAGCCAGAGACGCTGTACAAGCAGCTTAGCTTGCAGCACGAACGGTAGAGCCATCCCCAAAGGATCAAATAGTCTGGCCACTACCTGAACAATGCCTCGCTTGGATTCCAGCGGAGATGTTTCAACCTGGCGAAGGCTTAGCGTGTCAACAGATGTGTTCCACATGCAGCCTAGAACGCTTTCATCTGTAAAGTTGATTTCCTTTTGGGCGCGCTCTGTAGGATGAATTGCTTCCAATACGACCGGGCTGTTGCTCTTCCACTTTGTCAAGCGGAATCCTCCCTTTGCCAGCAGATGTGTGATGTCATTTTGCATAGTCTTTGCTTCGTGAACGTTTCTACACGAATACAAAAAATCGTCCATGTAAAAATTGTTGCGGATAGCTTCTGTCATTGCTCGTCGTTGTTGGTGACTTCCAGCATAGTCTTCCCCAGTGCGTCGGAGCACAAAGTTGGCAGACGCCGGGCTGCACTTGGCCCCAAAAATCGTAGCCGTCATTTGATAGACTTCTGGTTTCTTTCGTAAATCTAAACCTCTCCAAAGAAATCGCAGAGCCTCTTGATCTTCGGCACGGACTTTAACTTGATGATACATTTCCTCTATGTCTGCAGTTATAGCTAAAGCCTGCTGTCTAAACCTTAAAAGCACCCCTGTGAGATTTCGTAGTAGATCTGGTCCAGTGAGCAAGTAGCTATTCAATGATACCCCGGCGAATTGGGCAGCAGCATCAAAAACGACCCGTAGCTTCCCAGGCTTGTGTGGGTGGATAACCGCATGATGTGGTAAATACCACGTCCTTGGGCCGTGACGATTCTCCTCTCCTTGGTCTACCTTCCTGGCATGTCCCTTTTCAATATACCCGTTCAGTATTTTCTGGTAGGCCTCCGCCTTCTCTGGTTTCTGTAGCAAGCTTCTCTCAAGCGATTCTAGGCGACGTAATGCCATTCCCTTGTTATCCGGTAATGATACACCGTCATTCTTCCATAACAGGCCGGTCTCGTATCTAGATCCGATCTTTCTTGTTGAGTTTTCCATGATTTCGATTGCCCTTTTATCTTCCTGTGATATCGGTTGTGTGTAGTCAAATTTTGTCCCAAAAGCCTCTGTCGTACACCATTCTTGCAACAGAACATTGGATTCTTCATCGGCGGAGGCGTTGTGGACTACATGACCCGTCTGGCGCCTCGTGGTAGCCCATTCACTGAACCGGTCAGCGTCCATCCAAAGGCCGTCCTCAACGCCACTGGCTGACCAGATCGACCGACTCGAACGTCTTGGTGTAGAACCGCTTCTACGACATTGGCACCTAACAGCACCTCAATGTCGCCATCACAGCGGGGAATGTCCAGACCGTTGAGATGGGTCCATGAGTTTCGCTGCTCCTCTGAGATGTGATGAGCCAGAGCGTTAACGTTTATCCGTGGGGTACCAAAAGCTTCAGGCACCTGTATCAATTCCTTTGTGCCTGAAGCTGTTCGTGAGCTAACATCGAAAGCAACTCGAGTTGATGTTTGGGGAACTCCACTGCTTTCTACGTTATCAATGCGTAGTATTCGCTCAGGGCCCTTTAATCCCAAGTAGGGCATGAGATCTTCAGAGGTAAGCGATGTTTCTGAACCAGGATCCAGCAAACCATACGTGTCTCTAAGTCTCCCACCGACTCCATGGACTCGTATAGGAACGATCTGCAGCAACGTAACGGCTCCCGCACGATCCTGAACTGATGTTGCTATCGTACGATGTGCAGTTTTGCCCTGCCGACTTTCTTCTCGGTCGGGTGCTGACTCGCTCCTTTTCACTTGTGCCCCGTGCAGGCTTTCATGATGTTTGAATCTGCATCCGTCGATTCCGCAAACTCTTGCTGTCCGGCAATCTCGAGCCAGGTGATTTCTGCGCAAACATCCAAAGCACATTCGATTTTTTGTCAGAAATAGGAGTCGCTCGTCTGGTGTCTTCTGCTGATATGATTCACATGACTGAAGGTCATGGGTATCTCCACAACACGGACATTCTCTAGTCCATGTGTTTGTCACCAAATTTGTTCGTCTTACTGCCTGTCCCTTTGAAGAACAGCTCAATGCTATTTTGAGTTGTTTTCCTAGCCACGCATTGAAATCAACGAGCGTGGGTCGATCAATGTTCCTTTCAACAACATGCCTACCCCACTCCCGTCGCAACTCTCTCGGTAATCTGTCAACCATTCGCCGAAGGTTTTCGTAACTCTCGAGGTCACCAACGAAACCGAGCTTCTGTAGCACAGTCACCGTGTTGTTAATAACTCCGCAGAACTGCTCCATGCCAGCTGTACCAAACAACGTTGGTGGCGGGGCCGACAGCATTGCATCTAAATGTGATTGTACTATGTCCTGCTCCCTGCCAAATCTTGCCTTTAGCACGTCTATAGCCTGGGGATATAGTTCAGGATCGAAAATGAGTCCCGATATTGCTTGCTTTGCGCTCCCTTGTACAACCGACTGCAAATGAACCATCTTTTCTGTGTTTGATAAATCTGGCTGGTCGTCTATTAGATGCTTGAAAAGGCTAAACCATCGCGGCCATTCAAGTGGATTGCCATCAAATACAGGAAGGGTCAAACGAGGAATACTGTTAGGTGGTAACAGATGACCACTAGTACGCGAATGGCTAGTAGCTTTGTGGCCCGAATGGTCAAGTGCTCCACTATCAACCGGTTTGGAAGTGCTGTGGAGCTCATTCTCCTCTACCTGCCGTTCATCAATGTCTGGCAATGCACGATGCTGATCGAATTTATGTAAAGAATTAGAGACAGATTCAGATTCGGTCTTACCTCTGTTCGTCTGTTCCGCCTCTGCGCCCAACGCCTTCGGCCAAGACGGTAAATCATGTAATTCCGCCTGTTCTACAGGCGTCCCGAAGTCAGAATGGTCACATTCAGATCCGTCCGCTTCCTTTCTCCAATCTGCCTCCATTCTAGCCAACTGTGCAGCGTCTCTAGCTTCTTGCAGTTTTCTCTGGTGTGCCAATTCTTGCTCTTTCCTCTGCTCCGCCAATTGGCGTTCTAGCTGTTGAAGCCGTAGCTCCTTGAGTTTCGCCTGAATCTCGGCTTCTTTAGAATTGCAGAATCGTTCTTGGACAACTTCTGTCTCGGTCTCTGGTTCATGATCATTACTGGGCTCATTACTGGGCTCAACTGCGGTTCGTCGGCTCTTTAGATATTCTCGTATTTGCATCACTGTCTCAACATGCTTTGTCTCCTCCTCCTCCATATACCTTTCAATCTCACAACTCGCGTCATCACCGATCAAAAGCGCATACTCGTCACTCACCTCGATTAAAGATCGTAGCGCCTTGTCCGATTCTTCAACCAGATTCAGGAGCTTCGTGTGGTTACCGTTGCCTTCAATGATAGCAAGGGCCTGGTTGCGTAGCCGAGTCAAAGTACCACGATGCCTTCCTCTTATTTTCTTGATTTTTGCAATCTTCTGTTCTTCCATGGTTTTCGAACTGTTCTTAACTATCGCCACAGCCAAAATTACAGGTCAGTTAAGTGAAAACTTCTTCACGCATTTAAGTAATATATTCGCAGTAATAACAAATAATAATGGTTAAGAACAGTTTTCGACGTTACAGTTTCGGTGTGGCGGGATTCAACTCAATTTTGTTTGGTTCTTTTCATTCGTTTCGCTTCGTTTGTTTCGTTCGAGTGAATTGTCTCGTCTTGTCTCGGTATATGTTCTCATCACTACAACTTCATTTCTTCATGTTCCTCTTCTTTATCAATTCTTCTTGCTGTTATTTATCTCTTCTTTCCCTTTCACATTTCTGTTTCTATTCTCAATTTCTTGGCTTTTCTGTGTTATTTCCGTTATTTTGGGTCACTTGAATTTGAAATATTTACAGCACAAAATCTTATTCAAATCGCGCACACAAATTTACGTTCAGTGCTTCCATGCGCGGAGATAAAATCACCACTGAGGGTAAATCAATTCCACAGCTGGGAGTGCCACCGAATGACTTGGACTGTGGATTGGGCATGTCATGGCCTACATTGTGTGCGAGTTTCAGCTTGATCAGAGGTGTCCCGAATCTGGGCTGAATCCGGGCTGCGACGTATTGAGTGTCGTTTATTTGCACATTTTGAACTGCCGAGGTCAAACGGGGTCACATATCGAAAAGCGGTTTTTAAGGAAAGTTACTACGGCCTATGGGCTACCCGATGATGTGCTTTGATTTGGAATTCGGCCAATCCATCTACTCGAAAACTGCTGTGCAAGTGTATTCTCGACATAGCCCACAAATGACCTTGGGTCATCGCATGACCTTGAGAGGTCAAATGAGTGTTGGGAAAGTAAGATTAGATGCAGGCGAGTCGATTGGTGCCATTTTTAGCACTCTAGCTCTACTGGGTGGGCCACAATCTGCTGTGCAAATTTGGGCCACGTGACCTTTGCTGACCTCTGTAGGTCAAACGGCTGGGAGTGCCACCGAATGACTTCGACTGTGGATTGGACATGTCATGGCCTACATTGTGTGCGAGTTTCAGCTTGATCGGAGGTGTCCCGAATCTGGGCTGAATCCGGGCTGTGACGTATTGAGTGTCGTTTATTTGCACATTTTGACCTGCCGAGGTCAAACGGGGTCACATATCGAAAAACGGTTTTTAAGGAAAGTTACTACGGGCTATGGGCTACCCGATGATGTGCTTTGATTTGGAATTCGGTCAATCCATCTACTCGAAAACTGCTGTGCAAGTGTATTTTCGACATAGCCCACAAATGACCTTAGGTCATCGCATGACCTTGAGAGGTCAAATGAGTGTTGGGAAAGTCAGATTAGATGCAGGCGAGTCGATTGGTGCCATTTTAAGCGCTCTAACTCTACTGAGTGGGCCACAATCTGCTGTGCAAATTTGGGCCACCTGACCTTTGCTGACCTCTGTAGGTCAAACGGCTGGGAGTGCCACCGAATGACTTGGACTGTGGATTGGGCATGTCATGGCCTACATTGTGTGCGAGTTTCAGCTTGATCGGAGGTGTCCCGAATCTGGGCTGAATCGGGGCTGCGACGCATTGAGTGTCGTTTATTTGCACATTTTGACCTGCCGAGGTCAAACGGGGTCACATATCGAAAAGCGGTTTTCAAGGAAAGTTACTACGGCCTATGGGCTACCCGATGATGTGCTTTGATTTGGAATTCGGTCAATCCATCTACTCGAAATCTGCTGTGCAAGTGTATTTTCGACATAGCCCACAAATGACCTTGGGTCATCGCATGACCTTGAGAGGTCAAATGAGTGTTGGGAAAGTAAAATTAGATGCAGGCGAGTCGATTGGTGCCATTTTTAGCGCTCTAGCTCTACTGGGTGGGCCACAATCTGCTGTGCAAATTTGGGCCAGGTGACCTTTGCTGACCTCTGTAGGTCAAACGGCTGGGAGTGCCACCAAATGACTTGGACTGTGGATTGGACATGTCATGGTCTACATTGTGTGCGAGTTTCAGCTTGATCGGAGATGTCCCGAATCTGGGCTGAATCCGGGCTGCGACGTATTGAGTGTCGTTTATTTGCACATTTTGACCGGCCGAGGTCAAACGGGGTCACATATCGAAAAGCAGTTTTTAAGGAAAGTTATTACGGCCTATGGGCTACCCGATGATGTGCTTTGATTTGGAATTCGGTCAATTCATTTACTCGAAAACTGCTGTGCAAGTAAATTTTCGACATAGCCCACAAATGACCTTAGGTCATCGCATGACCTTGAGAGGTCAAATGAGTGTTGGGAAAGTAAGATTAGATGCAGGCGAGTCGATTGGTGCCATTTTTAGCGCTCTAGCTCTAGTGGGTGGGCCACAATCTGCTGTGCAAATTTGGGCCACGTGACCTTTGCTGACCTCTGTAGGTCAAACGGCTGGGAGTGCCACCGAATGACTTGGACTGTGGATTGGGCATGTCATGGTCTACATTGTGTGCGAGTTTCAGCTTGATCGGAGGTGTCCCGAATCTGGGCTGAATCCGGGCTGAATCTGGGCGGAATATGGGCTGTCTTGATCAACATGTGCGTAAGAGTGGCTATATGAATCCATTGTGGGGTCGCCCTTTCCAATAAGTGTCACGTAACAGCAATGGGACCAGGGACTCTATATGAACTGAACCCAGGGTGCTCGCCAAGAAGACCAATGTCTCCATCCTATCATCCTTCCGGCTCTGAAATGGTCTTGTTAGACCGAAAGGGCATAACCCAACAAAACAAACCAAATTCGCCATCTGGCTGCGTGGTGTAGTGGTTAGTGCACTAACCTCGTGTTCAAATGACACGGGGTTCGAATCCCATCGCCGGCTGATGCTTTTGGCGTGTTGTCCCAGTAAACATGCCGACGTCGGCGACTGGGGGGCTCGAATCCCGCCGCCGGTTGATATTTTTGGCGCGTTGTCCCAATAAACATGCCGACGTCGGCCCCGTCGGTCCAACGACAAACGATCTCGTCAACCTCGGCAAACGACCTCGGCCCGACGTCGGCTCGACGTCAGCTGGACTTCGGCTGGACGTCGGAACATGCGGGCATATCCGACGTCCAGCCGATGTCGGGCCGAGGTTGAACCAAACATGCCGACGTCGGCCCGACGTCGGGCCGAGTCTCGGCCCGACGTCGGGCCGACGTCGGCATGTTTACTGGGTCTGCTGTGGACTCTGTGGGGGCCTGGGCTCGCTGTCGGAACCGGAATCGTTCCACGATTACGTTAGTCCTGGGAGTGTAGAACTCCCGGAGCTGGCGGAGGGTGACGTCGTAGTCGTCCTCGCCGTCACGTTTCGCGACCGGCGGCAGGGTGTCGAACACCCGGTACGCCTCGTCACCGATCGCGCACAGAAGCAGAGCGCACCGCTGCTCGGGGGGCAGGGGGCTCGTGCCGCACCTGGCCAACAGATAAAGTTCGAATTTTTGTTCCCAGTTCCTCCACGGGACGGCCGGCGTCCCGGAATGGGGCAAAAACGGCGCGGGTAGGGGCGGTCCACTGTCGCCGCTCATGGCCGTACCGCGGGCCGAGACACAAAAAAGGTTACACGGAAACTCGCGACACGCGATTTCACTAAAGTCCGCACTTATCTCGTGCTAGTCGCCAAAATGTAGTGTTATGGAACCCAAACTAATATCTGTTGTATACAATGGCCAGGTGGAACGCAGACTGTATTTTCCCAAAATGACGGAGTCACGTGAGGTCATGTAAAAAGCACTAAACTACTGCCATAGTGAACACTACAAGGGTCAAGGTCAGGTCAACCGGGTACGCACATCCCGAAAATCAAAACTGATATTTGCAGCCTGTGACACATGTTTAATTTGGGCGTAGAACACGATGGTGACATTCATTTTATCATATGTATGTGTACGTGTTTGGTTCAAAAAGTTCAATTTCAGAAATGCATGTATCATGGTCGTGAAATAGTCACAAGAAATTGCCAAGATTCAGTTCAAGATTTTGGAAAATGCAGAACGATAATCAATAGGTAATCGAAGATAGCCATTTGATTGTTCATGGTATTGGCAGTCTAATGGCGTTTACGGCATGTCTTTATGTCTATTCTGTGATTTTATATGATTTTTTGAACATATGCCGTTTTTGGTCGAAAACTCAGAAAACATGACGTCACTAAAACCTCGGTATCTCAAAAATTTTCCGACCGATTTTTTGAAACTTTGTCACAATAAACTTCAATCAATTCCCTACAGGTACCCAAATTTTGGCGCGCCTGCGCGCGCCGTTTTTATGCTATGGCCCGGCGAAAAAAGTGGGGGCGTTTAACGCCCCCCAGCAACTCGCGGGTTGCCGATTAAGGGGTAAGGGGTAAGATAATATATTCCTGCCCGGGGCCGGGATGATTCAATAAATGTCACCGAGGTTTTCTAGCGAAAACTCCGAGGGCCGTTAGGCCCGAGGTGCTTTTCGCTAAAAAAGCGAGGTGACATTTATTGAATTCCCGGCCTTAGGGCTGGAAGGTGTTTCCCATACCTGCCAAAAAGCTCACAACTATAATTGATAGTGACGTCAGCATCCGTGTGGTTCAACGCGTTTAACCACACCCCTTGAACCACACGGCTGGCAATATTAAAGCACTGCATTAAACTTTGAAAAGTGTGGTACAGTGCACGTGCCATTAAAATGCCTGGATGTCTCGATTTAATCATGCAATGTAGCAGGTATGGGAAATTCACATCTGGAACCCGAGGCCACTGCCATATATTGACCCGAGGAATCGATTGCGACCTTTATTTTGGCGATCAGACCAACCCTTGAGGCACTTTTGACGCGCCCCTTCCTTTAAGGAACGATTAAGGGAGGAGGGGAGCTAGGACAACATAAATGCCATATTCGTGCTCCCCGTCTCCCAATGATTAGAGTGTTAGAAACGATTCTAAATCCGACGCTGTATTCGATGCTGTTGCTGACGCTAACTTCACGGACATGCCCTAGCTAATCGCTAACTAGAATCAGCGCACACAGGCGTTGCGGTTTATGTGTTTACGCATAGATGTCGCAACTATAGCGAGATATGCGATGCAAATGGTAGCAGAGAGCAGTAGTTTCCCCTACACAAGTGGTGGTTTTCTACCACAGACGCTCGTCGAGGTCGGTATTTCCAAATACGCGTTGGAGGAATAGGCTTGTTGACGTCTCCATGGAAACCCAATTTGACACGTGTAATGAGGGGAAGCCAGTAACAGTTGGTAGCATTAGACCAAATGGGCGCTAAAAAACTACTACCCCATAGGGTTTCCATGTTAAATCGACCTTATTCAAACGAGCTTCACGCGTAAGGTAAAAAATAAAGTGTCAATATTATTGTGGGGAAAGGTAGCCTCAAGCTTCCCCTACAACCTTTTATCTAGCGTTTTTCGACGCGGAGGCCATAACAGGTTCAAAAAGCATTGGGCGCTGTCCGAGGTACCAAAAGCCGAGCACAGGTTCGTGCGCATGCGCACATTGCCTCAACCCTGTACTGACGTAAATTAGTGATACTGCTCACGGACTCAATCAGCCAATCAGCATCCCCGATTAAATCAACAGATGTCGCTAGCATCACGTAAATCCTGCGTGCGAACACATTTTAAGAATGAAACGGCTGCGCAATTTCTGCCTTCCATTGATTCCTTCCATTTTAGTACCAACTATACGCTTTTCAACTAACTTTAGACTAAGTTTTAAACTATGGGTAATATGTTATTTCTGGTACATATAATTTAAAAATTACTGCTTTATGAATTTGGCTTTACTCGGCAGAATAGAATACCCTATTTTTTTCCATATTCAAAAAATATATCAACTACCATGTAACTCATCTAGGTCAAATGGGCGCTTTCCGCGTCGTTGGGGTACCCAGGTGTACCTGTTGTTCTAATTTGGTATACACCGGTGCAAGGCTATATAAACCAGGTAGAACGTTCCCGACGAAAAAGTGGTGACAAGCGATAATTAGTAGCCGCGACCCTCACTTGTTCAAAACTATATCCGCAAGCAGCATTTACAGGCTAGCGGAAATCGACCAATCGGCGTTCGGCAATACTCGACGCTGATTGGCCCGATGCTCGTGACGAAATTGCGGGGGACTGTAGCTATTCCCCTATGGCGTTTAATAGACTTACGGCTTTTGAAGGGGATTTATACCAGTTTTTGTTGGGTTTGAGGCCATTTTTGAGCTTGGATATTCTTTCTGTGACTTTTGACTGTGTAATAACGACATTTAATCATGACATTCTATATACTACCGGTGTCACATCGGCCAAAAAGACCGTAAGTACATGGGATAGACGGACCACTGCTGATGGGGCCACACATGTCGGCGTGTGGTCATCGGAGGTCCGTGAGGGTTCGACATAGACCCTTCATGGGTCGGTATAGGCCCGGTGGGTCCAGTGTGCAAGCCTATCGGGGGCCGGGGCTGACCCAACAGGGCCCAGTGGCATATAATGTAAGGCTGTCTAGGCCGACGTTGAGGGCTCATGGGGGCCATATAGGACCAATAGGGACCACATCAGTCAATCAGGGGCCATTTAGGCCAATAAAGGCACTTCAGGGGACTTGAAAAGGTCATTCAAGAGCTGTGGTGGGCCCATGAGGGGACGGCATTGGTCCAGCAGGTGCAGTCAGGGGATGTTGTACGGGTTTCTCAGTGGCCCATTTGGGCATATCAGTGACCAATTTGGACCCAGCAGAGGGCTTTGTAGACCTATCAGGGGCTGGTGATGGTTCATCAGGGGCCAGCGTTAGTCCATCGGGGCACGGCATATGCCCATCAGAGGTAATTGCGAGCCCACGCTGAACAATGATGGCCCTTCAACGGCCCCTAATGGATCTACATTGACCCATGGGCCATGATGTGTCATGTATGCCCCTATGACAGGCCTACTCAGACCCCTGATGGACATTCTGATGACCCTATACTGAATGCTAAAGGGGCTCTAAGTTTCTCCAATAACCCTTCGTCAACCCATTATTACCATACGCTGGCACTAGGGGCCCCACATCAGCCGCAGGGCAGTCCGTGCCATGACAGCATGTCTTTTCGGCCGATATTACATCGGTAATATTTATTAAAATCATGATTTTATGGTGTCATTATATAGCTAACAGTCATAAGAAATATATTTCAACTCGAAAACAGCTCCAAACAGCATATAATTTTAAAGAAACTCCTCCGAAATCCAAAAGCCTATTCGGGTCCATAGAGAATAACTGCGGTCCCCCGCAATTTCGTCACGAGCGTCGGACCAATCAGCGTCGAGTACTGCCGAGCGCTGATTGGTGAATTTTCCGCTAGCGTGTAAGTACTGCTCGCGGAACAATAGTTCGTCGACAATCCTCCACAAACGTCTGTCACCATTTTTCGTAATGCTAAACAGCCGGAGCGTACCCCCCTGCACCGGTGCAACAGGGCCCTGATTGCTGATCTGCCCAAGATTCTTACAGGCCTTACAGGTAGATCTGCCGGATAATTCTCAGGTGAGGTTTGAGGGAGTTCCCTGAGATTTTTCCAAGTATTCTTATCTTTTCTACATAAGAACTTTATACAGTGAGCTGGTAAAAAAGACTGAAAATTCGAGTGTACAATACCGTTCTCGCCTGAGGCGCCACTGGCAACAGCAACTGTACGTTCATTTTAGCACATAGCTCTGCGCGAGTGCTGAAACGGGCCAGAATGACATTGGTGACATTTGTGTGACATTTGGTTGTCTTGCCACTGCACTGGCTGAAATCATCAGTATTTAAGAGTATGGGCCCAGAGTCTGAAATAAAGCTTATCTATCTATCTATCTATCTATACATAGCCATAGCAAATGCCATGACATGACGAGACCAGCTCGGCAGTTCTCTATATACGTGGGCAGTTGTAGGCTGGTTGAACTTGGGGTCCCTAAGGTTCTGTGCTCAGCCTATTCAGTTGGGGAAACTACGAGGCGAACGTCAAAAAATGGATTGGTCAATAAATGGACTTTTGATGACCATATATGGGCATAAATGCAGCCCTCGCTACTAAGGGTGAAAAACGGTATAACGAGCCGGTAATTGCGGTATCGCGTCCACTTATTGGAGAGAAAAGGCTTCCATTTTTCACTAGGAATTGGTGTGATTTGATTAAATTCGGCGAATCGACTCGAAAATGGCGATAGGAAAACAGCTTTTCTGCAGGTTCTGGGCGTCACAATCAGCTGGCCATTCAATAAATGGATTGGTTTTATGAAAGAAAACTGTTAAAAAGATTTAATTTAATTACAATAAACAAAAATATTTAATTCTAAAATAATAATTTAACTACAATTAGAAAAACCATAAACAAAATAATAAAAATAATGACATTTTTAAACCACGGTACTGCTTACATTTTTTGGCGCGTGTGTTTCAATCCGCCATATTTGCCAATCACGGTTTGACCTTGCGTTGTAACTCTGCGATTTAGAGACGCCAATTAATTATGCACCGGGTGAGTGTAGGCCTTGTGTGGTTAAAAAACATCCTTATGCCTTATTTTTTCATTTGAATGCTAAAATTCATTGAAAAGATGAAGTTGTCTGATTTTATGACCATATATGGTCATCGCCCCGCCCACTCCAGACGCTGATTGGCTAATCCAATTTTTGTTTGGCTCCTCGTAGTTTCCCCAACTGTATTGTTACTTCTTATCTTTTTCAACCATATAGGTTCAAAGTTAATATCAGTCTAGGAAGTTGTGGTTAATTCTTCCATTTTTATATTTTTTTTTCATTTTGGAAGATTCTTCCATAAATGGGTACGCAACTTCCAGCAACTTCAAAAAATGGGTACCTATGCTGGTGATGCAAGTATACCCAAATATAGAAAATGTTGAGCATATGTTGGGGATAACCTATTTGCTCCGAAAATGACACAAATGCGACTTTTGCCCCTGGTTGCATTCAATTAAGCTTTGTGAAGTGCCCAGAGGCCAGTTTTACCAACAGAAAAAGCTCAGTTGGGGAAACTACGAGGCGAAGATCCAAAAATGGATTGGGCAATAAATATACTTCTGATGACCATATATGGGACGACGGTGAAAACAGGGCGCCTGGGGCGATTTGATCAAGGTTCGTGAAATTTACATGTGATGTTTAGCACGTAGAAGACCCGCGGAGTGGGAGAAGCTCCAAATGTCACGTGACTAATATGCCCTCCGGCGCCCTGTTTTCACCGGCGTCCCATATATGGGCATAAATGCAGCCCTCACTACTACGGGTGAAAAACGATATAACCTGCAGGTACTTGCAGCATCGCGTCCACTTATCGGGGAGAAAAGGCTTCCATTTTCCACTAGGGATTAACGCGATTCGATTAAATTCGACGAATTCAATCGGAAATGGCGTTAGAAAACAGCTTTTCTGCAGGTTCTGGGCTTCACGATCAGCTGGCCATTCCATAAATGGATTGGTATTTTGAAAGAAAATAATAGCTCTGTTCACACCCCGTTTATTTATCAGCAGGCTGTGACCATGCTGCTACTTCTTGGCTCCTCATTGGTCGAATTCAAGTGGTCTATTCGTTAGACCAATGAGAGGCCAAGCCGCGCCAGCAATAACTTCCTTATATGAGGAAAACTGACAGCACACTGATATAAAAACAGGGACCGAACAGGGCCAATTAAACGATTTATTTTTATTACAATAAAGAAAGATATTTGATATTAAAATGATAATTTAACCACAATAGTAAAAACCATATGTTCGTTCCTTCGTTCCAGTTCCTTCCCAATCCTCGCCCTGGTTGGACGTGCGCCAGATTAGCTCCTCACCTCACAGCCAAGGTCACAGCAAGAGCCGGTGTGTTTTCAAAAAGAAGAACATTGCTTAGAATAAGAAACAAAAGAAAACAGACAAAAAATTAAAAAAAAATTACAAAAAGAAAAAGGTGATCAAAATTATTTTAAAAGCACTTGTAGAGATTTTCAATGCCGCCAAAATGGGCCGGGACAAATATGGTGCAGGCAACTGTGGAACATGAAGAAGGTGATAGTGAAATCAGCAAGGCAAGCGAGGGTGAAGAGATAGGTGGATAGGAAAAGAAGGGTTGGAGTCCAGCGAGGAAGTCGAGAAAAACAAGGTACACGTGCAAAGGAGGACAAAAGGTCAGAATCAGAATCAGAGTCAGAATATATTTAAAGCTCATCCAGACAATCACTGGTTTTTCATGTGCTCGCGTCAACAATATGGGCAAAGGACACTTAACTGGTAAAAGACACGATATGGGTAAAAGACATGTCTTTATTTGCACAATTTACATGTCAATTTACATTGTAAATGGTAAATTACAACATACTTTATTTACATGTCATGTAAAACAAAAGTGGAAGTGCTAAGATCACAATAAAAGCTCTTGTGCGTACATATATGTGCGTTCACCGCCGCGCCGTGCTCAAGTATTTCTTGACGGTCCCTCTGAACGCCGATATGCGGGTCTCCCTAATGTCGCGCGGCATGGCATTGAACGCGCTGGCGGCTCGATAGGCAAACCTTCGCTTGCCAGACTCAGTTTTGACACGTGGCAAAACAAGAAGGTCATCCAGTCTGGTCGACCTCGATCTCACACTCAGCGCAGTACGAAACAGGCCAGCGGAGCCGCTCGGCTGTCCATGGGTCAGGACGGCTTTGATTAAACACAATGTGCGGTACATTACGAGGTCCTGGGCAGGTAACCAGTTCAACTCAGCCAGTACATCGCTTACGTGCTCACGTCTACGCCGTCCTGAGACCACTATTGCACAAAAGTTAAGTAACGTTAGTTTCACAGTTAGTGTGCACAGTTAGTTTCTGCACACGTGACAATGAGTGAGCGGTAGAGTTTCCGTATACAGAGATGCAATAGCGAATCAGGGAAATCACTAGTCCATCCACGAGCGCTGGTAGTACCTCATGGGGGATACGATGTCTCGCATGACTGAGGCCGACCAATAAGCCAGTACACTTCGCTACCAACTGGTTGACATGCGGTTCGTAAGTCAAGTGTCTGTCCATTACTAGGTACGCCTAAATTTTTGACTCGCGGAATCTCTTCTACAATCACACCGTTTACATTGATACACATTTTTGGTAGGCCGAGTAGCATTTGACGAGTGCCGAGTACAATCAGTTGAGTCTTACTAGAGTTTACTTTCATCTGATTTTGAGCGAACCACTGAAGCAAAGTGCACAGAGCCGATTCCATGCGCTGAACGAGTTGCGCAATTTCACATTTACGTCCGGTAACCAGGATCTGTGAGTCATCGGCGTATTGCGCGATGTTGACATCGCTGTTGACATATAAGCTAAGATCGTTGGAGAAAACGTTGTACAAGAGGGGTCCGAGCGAGGTGCCCTGATAGACGCCAATTGGATTTCTGACTGCGTTGGATAAGCGCTGACGTCCAGCGGGAGTGCTCAGTCTGACATGCTGATAGTGATTTGAAAGGTAACTCGAAAACCAAGCGGTCTCCACGCCGTAAAGCTGTATTTTTTTCAATCAGTTTTGAATGATTGACAACATCAAAGCACTTGCTTAAATCTAACAGTACAAGAAGAGATATTTCACCATGGTCCATGCCCTCTAGTACACGATCTGTAACGTCTATAAGCGCTGTTTCAGTAGAGTGATTTCGTCGAAAGCCGTGTTGCGTGTGAGAGAATAGGTGGTTCTGATCGAAATAGGCATACAGCTGCTTGTGAACAACACGTTCTACTATTTTGGCTAAACAAGGCACAAGTGATATCGGTCTGAAGTTAGAGGGGTCTCTGATGGAGCCCGACGACTTATATATGGGCTGAACAACTGCGACTTTTCACGAATCAGGTACAGTGCCGGTGACAAGGCTGGTATTCACAATGCATAAAACAACATGTGAGATAGCACTGAAACACTTTTTGAAAAAGTTCATGGACAGTCCATCCAAGGTATGTGGACTATCTATTTCTAGTAAAGAGGATAGCATTATGTGCGATGCCTGCAAAGAATGGTTTTCATCCAAAATGCCAGGGCCTATCTGTGGAGGCATTTACAGCCCTGTCAGAATATGATTTCCTGTGGCTGTGTTCGGCATGCAGGCCTAAGGTCACTGCTCTTCTGGATTTGGGAAACAAGTTAGAGTCTGGGATAGCTGAAGCCCAGAAGAAAATTTTGGACAAGGGCGCACACAAGGGGGGGGGGGCACACGGGCCCGTGCCCCCAGTCGAGTTGGGGGGCCCGCCGTCCGACGTGGATCGCCTCCTCGAGGTGGACGGTGGAGGGGCCTGGCCCCACCCCAGGCGTGGCGAGCGCTTGGGGGAAACCAAACGACCACAACACGCCTCCTGCAGGGGGCGAACGCCGGTGGCCGACGCGCCACCACGTCGTCCAACAACCTCAACATCCAAGAGCATCTACGGGATCGGGCGCCGCGCGGCGAGCAGAGCCGAGGCGGCCCCGGTCCCAGTAGATAAGTGAGCGACACGGACCCCGCCGGTAGCGCCCCCGGCGGGGGTCCGGGTGTCCGCAGCGACCGTGCCCGGGGAGGACGGAGTCGCCGCGCCAAGAACCGCCGCTACCGCCTGAACCGCTCCGCGCGAAGCCGCCTGGTCATCGTGTCCTGGAACGCGGAGGGGCTCCGCACTAAGATGCAGGAGTTCCAACGCTGGCTGAGCGCAACGAAGGCGGACGTGGTAGCTGTGCAAGAGGCTCAGCTAGCGGCCAACAAGAACCCGTCAATTCCTGGGTACCAGACAGCTGTGGTCACCCGTCGGGCGCGTGGGAGGAGGGACGGCGGACCTGTCAAGGGCGGAGACGTGGCACTCTTCGTTCGCGACGGCCTTCAGTTCACCACCATCGACCAACCGCCTCTCCACCCTCTGGACGACTCCACGGAATGGTGCGCCACCCGGGTATTCCTCTACTCTAGTCACCCGAATCAGACGCAGAACACTAAAGCAAGACCAAGACCGAGCTCAATCACCAGCATCGACGTCCACAACGTATACCGGCCCCCGATCCGAGCCACAGGGGACGACGAACGCGTGGATCGGTTCTCCATGGCCGCCTTCCCAACAACCAGCAGCGCCATCATCACTGGCGACTTCAATGCCCACCACGGAACCTGGGACCCGTCGTGCACCGAGCCAGACAGTACCGGCCAACTGCTGCAAGACTGGATGGAGACCAATGGATGGGAGGCCCTCAACTCCGGAGCTGCCACCCGCTCTGGTTACGGAACCGGCCCGCCGACTGCACCGGACGTGTCCATGGCACACCGAGACCTGGCAAGACGCTGCACCTGGCGTACCGGTGATGATCTGGGCAGTGACCACCTGCCACAGGTGATGACAGTCACCGTCAGCGGGTGCCGGCCTCGACGGATCCGGAAGACCCGATGGTCGTTCCGGAAGGCGAGCTGGACGGCGTACACCCAAGACTGCGAGACTGCACTCACAGCCGCCGCGCCTGCTCATCTGACCGTCGATCAGCTGAGCAACCGCCTCACAGACGCCATCATGCAAGCCAGCGCGAAACACATACCCAGAGGGGCCAGGGCCGACCCGAAGCCATGGGCGCTGGACCCGGAGCTGGAGCGTGCCGTGGCGGAGCGACGAGAGGCGAGGGCTGCCCTCGATCAGTCGCCCACACCGGAGAACCGCGAGGCGTGGAAACGCGCCAAGAAGAAGGTCGCGGAGACCGAAGAGGAAGCGAGGAAGAGAGCGTTCCGGACGTTCGCCACAGAAGAGCTCAACCAACATACGAACCTGGGCCGTATCACCAAGTTGCTCCGCAAGATGGAGGGCGGTGTACAGTCAACTGCCCCTGGCCAAGCTATCAACGGGGACCGCGGCCGCGAGGCCGTGGAGGACCGTAGCAAGGCCGAGGCATTTGTCGCAACGTACGCTGCTGTCAGCAAGCACGTGCGCAGCAAGAAGTGGGACAGGCGCACCAAGGCGGAGTTGAAAGGACGTCGGCGGGCCCCCTGCTCCTGTGGTAATAACAGGACAGACGCCTGCCAGCCTTTCTCTATGCAAGAGATGAACGCCCAGATGAAGAAGATGAAGTCGCGGAAGGCGCCGGGTCCGGACCAAGTATGCGCGGAGCACCTGCAGCACCTGGGCCCCAGAGCGCGCGAGACGCTGCTCCATCTGATCAACTCGACCTGGACAAAGGGCGCGATCCCGGCAAGCTGGAAACGGGCTACTATCATCCCGATCCCGAAGCCAGGGAAGAACCCCAAGGACGTCTCCAGCTATCGTCCAATCGCCCTGACGAGCACTGTGGCTAAGCTCGCCGAACGGATGGTGGCCGCCCGTCTCACGCACCTCTGCGAGATGCACTGTCTGATCCCGCCGGAGCAGGTGGGTTTCCGCCGTGGCCGCGCCGCTGAAGATAACCTGAGCCGACTGATCCAGTCGGTACAAGATGGCTGGAACAAGCCGAAGGCTCGCGGCCGCCCAAAGGACGGCATCACTGCAGACAAGTTTGTGCTCGTCGCCTACGATTTCGCGCGAGCATATGATACCATCGACCACAAGATGCTCCAGAACAAACTGCTGAGACACCTACCTAAATGCCTCGTCACCTGGATCTTCCAGCTGCTCAGGGATCGCCGAGCCTGCGTGGAGGTAAACGGCGTTCGCAGCCGGGACAGGCCCTTCAGAGCCGGCCTGCCGCAGGGATCCGTGCTCGCGCCGACCCTATACACGCTCTGGGCCGCCGACCTCATCGAGGAGCTGCGCAAGGTGCCCCGCACGGACTGCTACATGTACGCAGACGACACCGCCACAGTGAGCGCCGGCCCGAACATCCAGATGGCTCTGTCCCGAGCACAGCAATCGGCAGACATGATGGCGAGATGGGCGACCAAGAACAAGATGAACATCGCCGGCCACAAAACCCAAATCCTGGTTCTGTCTCAGTGGGCCCCTGACGCCAAGAATGTCACGCTCAAGGTCGCAGGATCGGACGTCACCGCAACATCTCATGTCAAGCTGCTGGGAGTGACGCTAGACCGCCTCCTCCACTTCGGCGAGCACTGCGCCAGCCTGCGCCGCAAGGTCCGCCCACGCACAGCACAGTTGAGGAAGCTCACCGGCCACTCATGGGGACTACGAGAGCATCACCTGCGCACAGTAGCCAACGGCT